TGGTAAACACATTTTGCAAGTCATGTAGCTTTTCTTTGTTGTGCTCAGGTTGTCTTAATAAACAAATGTAGTTAACATATCATACTTGCCTAATGTTCTTTATGGCCTCTGTGCTGTCATTTCCAAATCATTTATGGAAATTAAATCAGTGAAACAATCTGGCAACATTCTTACCTCAGTTTAAAGAAGGCATTGATTATAAGAGGAGCTCTTTTGCATACTAATACTTCTATGAATCTGACAGCAGTTTTCAGGGTCTGTTTTAGACTAAGCCTTTATGTCAGCATGTCCCAAGGTATTCATTTGAAAATTTTGGAAATATACAGTTGTATTTGCACCTTACCTTCCCACATTTAAGGAATCCACAAAAGTTCAGATCACAGGATTGTTTCTTGTTTGCATATTTGCAGAGTGCTAATTAATTCTGGTAATGGATTTTCATATTTGGTCTCACTAGCCATGACTTGAAAGGTGTGGTCAGATATTTTATCTTTGTATTTAACAGATAAGAGTAAATGAAAGGCATATGTTGTTTTACAAATCAAATGTGTTGGCACAGTGTGTTAACATTCTATATATTAGCAAGAATCATTGGGATATCTACAGCAGTGAACCTATAACTTTATAAGTAGAAAAACGTCATTTTCCCAAGTAATGTCAATATTTGCAAAGCTGCTACTTTGGCTGGGGGGGGGGGGGGGGGGGACAGGAAGGTGGAATAATACTGTAATTTGTATGTCTAGTGCAGTAGAACATTATTTTTGTTCCAGAAAATGATCTTCCTCTGTGATTGAGCCTACTTGTTTTCCTACATTTCTAACAATGATGCCTGATTGCTGTTAAAACTGTTCCCTGGAACAGATTCCCTTATGTCAGACTGTTGCTTTGGACTATTTTTATTTGGAACATAATGTTCATTTAATAGAGCAGACGATAGCTGTTCCAATTTTTTTTCTTTTTTTAGTACAGCTGTTACTTTTTTTAAAGCTATAGACACCAAATACATTTGTCATGGGTGTTAAGCACATTAGCTGAAGAAAAGGGAGTCTAAAGCTGAAATAGTGTGCTGGCACGGTTTAGGACATACTGCTTATCCGGGGACACATTCTACATCAGGTAGGTGCACAATTAAACACGACACAAAATCCTTTCCAGTTTGGTATGAATTTTGACCTACGTCATTCTATATCAGGACAGGAATGATTTATTTAGATAGGGTTATTTATAGTGTGTGAGTCTTCGGGGATATGTGATCTGTCTAACAGGACGGTGCACCTCACACTTGCAGGGGAAGGAAAGGAGTGATTTGGAGCTAGCCAGAGAACCTAGGTGATGGCCTTTCTTTTGTAATGCACAGAAAATTGGCATGTTGATTTTTCTAACCTTGAAAGGCCCCAGCAAGGGAGAACACTCTGAGGCAAATGTTACCCAATCAAGTGTTAAGCGGTGCTTGCATATATCTAACCAAAACAACTTGGTGTTTTTTTATTATGCCAAGAGAATTACCTGTTCCTATAAAAACCGTTGAAGAGAAAAAAGTAGTTTTTTTTCTGATGGACTATATATCTATACATGCAATGAGTAGAAGAGCATTACCTATTGAAATTAGAGCTTTTATTTATTGCATTTATGAATTTGTCCCTGCAAATGGTATTGCAATAAGCACTTAAGCTTGTGTTCTGTTCTTGTTTTTGGCTTTGGTGTTTAGGGCTAGAGATTCATTAGTTCCCTACAAAGAAATAAAGGAGTGGAGGTCATAGGAAAATGCAGCACTGTTTGCATAAAGCCTGCAGCATTCATGTCAGTTTAAACAAATGATGTCACTGAAGCCATAGTTTCCTAGGTTGTAAAATACATTAGATTTAAGGTGAACACCAAACAAAGGCAGTTTACTTAAGCACCTAACCCTACAAGCCAGAGGTGGGCTACAGCCCATCTAATCCATTTTGTATACATTTCTTTCAGTTAAGGGTAAAAACCTTCCTCCCATCTCGCTGCCTTTTTAGTTACAGAATAGTTTCCTTTTCAACAAGAAACTGGCCTTTTAACAAGGAAGTACTAGTTGTCCCTGCAGAGAGATTAAATTTGTTGACAGTACAGCTCTGTGTGTTCAGGGAAGATGACCGCTGCCCTCTTTGAATCTGTTCAATAAACTTTGGCTAAAATGAGCAGGGAAGAGGGATGGGATTGAAAGTGTCCCCCACTTCTTCAGTTCCCTGAATTATTTTTCTACATCCTCAGTTTGTATAATAGATGTTTAATTGCTCATGTGACATGGATTTACCAAGTTTTGTACCCTATGCTTCTCTTCTTACAGAAATCTTACAGTAATACTGTAGTCGATTTTCTTCCTTTAAAAATTGCTTTTGGGTCTCTATTTGTTTTAAACATAGTCCCCAAAACCTGTGAGAGAGTTTAATTTTAAACTGATACTTGAAGTTATGCTTTAGGAGAACATACACCATCTGGACAAATAGATTTCTCCTTGGAGGTAATGCGCATTGACTTCTGAGTAGCTCTGTCTGAGCAGAATGTGTCTGTTGGGAGTCTTGGCATGAACACAGCAATGTAAGAGATGTACACTCATAATAGATCAGAACACCCAGGGGTCAGAATGAGCCAGCTGCTTATAAACAGAAACCGTGCAAGGGGGATTTATTTTGTAATATACTGCGGTAAGGCTGCTTTTATTTAAAGCTAGAGAAATGATAGGAAGTGCATTGTATCCTGTGGCAGATTTAACAGCCTACAACCACACTGTTTCACAGGCTCTTCAATGCCACAGTGATGCACCAAAAGAAGTGACAAGAAGTGTTAAGATAAGTGACTCTGCTGTAAGGTAGCAGAGCATGGGCTATATATTGTCATGACTCATCTAATGAAACCTTGCTTGAAAAAGCAAGGTTTATGGACCGGCTTGTATATTTGAAGATGAGATTTGATTCCAACTGCTTAGTTTGACGAGAGAAAATCAGATGTGCTACTGTAAAAGGCTTTCGATACCACAGAGGCTAGTGCATTTCCATAATAAATCAAGGAAGAAATGCTATTTTTAGAATTGTTGCAGATTCTCTGTTAAAGATTCTGAGTGACAGATGAATAGCTTGCTCCATTTACTACTTAAAGAGTCACATTTTTCTATGCTTATTTTTTTAGGAGGCTTCATGTTTATTTTACAAATGTGGTATTTTAAACGAAAGAATTACTTCAATAATGTTTCCTAATTCATGACAAGCTGAAGAAATCGACAATCGACAGTTGATTTATGTTACAGTACTTTAAGTGGAATGCATCCTTCTATTTCTGATTTATGATCACTAGTATCATTTCAGTAAGATGTGTTTAGTTCAACTGTTATGTCTCAGAAATTAAGCCCTGGGGTATGAATGATCTTTATCTCTAGAAACTTATCTTCAAAGGCTTGGAATTGCAGCAGTTGGTGTTAAACAATGTCGTGTGCTTGTTTTAAAGAAGGGTGTCCATTGAAATTTAGAATTTGTCACCCACCAAATACTTGTACCCTGTAATTTTAGCACTTAGATGGATTTATAGCTTCAACATAACTGTCTGTCACTCTAATAAAGAGCTGGTTCTACTGTGCTTTTTTATTTAATTTTTGGGGGGTTTGCTTTCCCATAATTG